GCTTCAAAGGGGAAAAGTGGGGACAAACCGGGTGGGATTTGCGCCGGGAAGAAGTGCGGACTCTTTGGGAGGGCTGAGGCAAGGAGTTTGGGACTTCTCGCCACCCTCGGGGGCCCTGCCCTCCCCGGCCCTGCCTAGCCGTCCTTGGCGCCCGACTCAGGCTGGGAAGGCCGCCTGGAGGAGGGCGGTGAGGGCAGGAGGCTGCTTCGGCCGCCGCCGGCGCGGGGCTGGCGAAAGCCGCGGATCCCTCTCTCTCCTCCCCCTCCAAGAGGGTCTGGGATGTGAGACGGTCTGGTCGCCTTGTTTATTCAGCAGGGTCCCAGCCGGTCCTGGGTAGTCTACGCGGGCCTCATCGGCCAGGAGCCCTCGAATCCAGGGTCGTTGGGGGAAGAGCGCAGAGGGCTGCACCCGCTGCCGGGCACTAACCCCGGGGTCCACGTCGCCGTCGACAGCGCTCAGCTTTCTCAACTCTGAACTGGAAGACCCTGAAGTTGCCTTAAAAAAGATGTTAAATACGACAATCCTAAGACTAGGAATAAGCGGGGCGTTATTTTGTTTGGATTTTCAGATAGCCCGTTCCAGAAACAACTCGCTTCCCTGGGAGCAGTAATAGCGGCCATGGCCATTGCTAAGCAGTGGTCCCGGGTAGTGAGGCTTGTTTCTCGCTGGAACACAAAACCTCGATTTTCTTTGCTTACTCCCTGGGTTACTGCAGTCAGCGGCAAAAGCCGGTCTCCCGGCGCTTATAGTCAGGACTTGGGCAAACAGCGCGGCCTTACCGGCCAGGAGCTCTAGATGGCGCCAGCGAGCCGCGCTCGCCAACCTCCTCTTAAGTGAATCAAGAGCGACTGTCAAACATAAAAGCAAATCAGAGTTTTCAGTTTTTTTTAATGTGTTAAGAATGTTATTCCTTAAGAAAATTTGTAGCTAAATTATTCTCACTTAAAATAAACACTTAGTATACCAATTACACAAATGGGCGGGATTTATGTGAGATTTACTTCATCTGCATTTTTGTAGTGGGAGAGTGCGTTGGTGAATACAGATAATAGATGCAAATAAGATTAGAGTTAAAATAAATAAAGTTTCCATCTGAATAACAAGAAATTCAATTTTACACGATTTATAACGATTTGACAAAATGTCCAGATATGCCATTCAGGTGCACAATCTAATCTCGTCAGATTAATGTTTTCCCTCCTTCAGGAAAGAAAATCTTTCTCTTCTTTTTTTTTTTTTTTCCTGTTCAGGTAGGATCCAACTCATTCCAAGAGAAAAATACAGTAGTGTCAGAAAAGGAAACTGCCAGGGGAGGGTGTGGATTGAGGCTGGGTGGGCGCTGGGCAGAGGAAAACTTGGTCTTCTCTCTTTTACTGCTCAGGAAGCTACAGGACAGGAAACGCTGCGAGAAACCGGGTGACACGAAATCACATTTTCCCTCACCCGGGCCCGAGAGAGAGTCTCAGGGCCTCGCCTGCACCCCTGGCCTCCTGGCCGCAGTCTCCCACCCCACACGGGCCTCCAGGCCGCAGCCCTCGCCTGCTCTGGGGCCCCGGCCGCGGCCTCCCACTCCCTGGAGCCAAAGTAGACCAGGTTGCCGGGCTGCCGAGGTGGCCCTGGGGAGGCACAGCCCCACCTCAGTTGGGGACCGAGCTCGTCTCAGAGCTCGTGGGCTCTCCCCTCCCAAGCAGGCTCTCTCCAATTTGCTCTGCCTCAGCCAAGCGCCACCCGCTCGGGTCAAGGTTTCCCCGCGCCCCTGAAGACCCCTAGGGCTGAGGGGCAAGCAAGGGGGCTGGAGTCTTTTCGCCTGTTGGTATCGGCCGGGGGCCTCCGGGCTCAGTTTCCACGCGCTCTGGTCTCCCGGCTGGAACGCTCCGGCCGGGGCCGCCGCCTGCAGTTCCTGGGAGCCTCGGTGATGGACGTCCGCTGACCCGCGGGGGCAGAGGCAGCGCTCAGAGGCCTTGATCACTGGGCTGCGGAGGGAGCTGCGCGGCCAGCGGGACCTGCACCGCCAGACCCTTTGATCTGCCTTATTATCAAGGAAAAACAAAGCTGCCAGAGCCCGACGCCCGGGCGCCCTCATTCCTCAGGAAATCCCACCACACCTTCACCTCCACGCCGCCGGCCCCAGCCCCTAAACGCGTCGGCCACCTTCTCGGCCTCGGCCCAAAGCCCCCAGAGTACACGCACCCATGCCAGCTTTTCCAGAAGACCAGACCAGAACCAGAAGGCGCGGTGGGTGGGGGTGTTGGGGAGGTCTCGTTTATGAACAGTTTGAGAGGGAAGAGAAAATGGCCAAAGGAAAAGAAAAACTCTAGGAAAAGAGCAGGGCAGCCGAGGCTGCGGGGACTGCAAGAAGGCGGAGAGGAAAGACGCCACCGAACCTCACGCTGAAAACGCCCGGCTGGAGACCTTCGCCTCTGTTTTATCACTACTTGCTACTTGGCTTTTCAGAGCAGAGTTTTGCGGGAAAGCATTTTGTTGATTGTTAATAACAATGATTTATTCTTTCTTCCCTAAGAACCAAAATCTTCATTCAAGTTTCCAAGACTGGCAGTAATCAAAAAAGGGGGAAAAAATTCCGTTGGGGCGGATTTTGCTTGTATTTCCTATTGTATGGAAAGTCTTTTAGAAATATTTTTATTCGTAAATATGTATTTTATTTTCTAAATTAACATTTTTTTTTTTGAATTGCGAAATTATCTCATTTACCAATTTTCTTTTCGTCTCTCCCTCTCTTCTCTCTTTTAAACTGGGGCTGTTAAGTTGGTGGTCAGAAGACAAAGAGAGTGAAAATAATTTTCATTTCAATAATTGCCTTCTGGTCAATTTAACTGTGCCTTATTTTGAAAGAGACTGTCTAAATGAGATTCCTGTCCCAAATGTGTTCCCAGGCCTGATCCCAGCCTTTAATTATTCCTGAGTTTTTTTCTTCAGAATAAGACGCCGCACTGAGTAATCACAAAGAAGTCAGAGAGCATCCTTGAACCTTTTCAGAAGCAGCGCCACTGATATTCAAATAACCTGCGAGGGCCATTTGACGGCGCAGGGACCTAGGCATTTCCAATTTACTATTTGCATAGATCAGCCGTCTTTGAAAAGGAAAGGAGCAGTTGTCTTCCATAACATTAAAAAGCCTAGTTATCAAATCAAGTGCTTAGTTTGGGAGCTTTTAAAACGTTTACATTTTATCTCAGGTTGCCCTTTACCGTTTGACATGCAAATTTGGTGCAGTTAATTTAGACAATTAAAAAGATCTTCAAGGGAGCTTTGTCACGGAGACTATTTGGAGTTTTCCCCGTGGACCAGCTGAGATAAAGTTGGCCAGAACAAATGATGTCTAGGAGATTAATTAGATATTTGATAAGACATGAATCCCTAATAAGGGAATACAAGGCACAGGGGGCTGCTGTGTGCTCTAAGTCAAAATTAATAACATTTAACAAGATTTTCATTTGGGCATGAAATGTCTTTTCCGGCGTATTGACTCTAGCGATTTATTCCCCTGAGTTGCCTTCCAATGTAGACCGCCTTGGGACCTAAAAGACTTTTTTTTTTTTTTTTTTTTTTAAAGCTTTTTCTTTTCACCGATTGTTTTTAAATCGCTTTTCAAAAACCAACAAACTCACCGGCGTTTTTTCTGACCTGGGTTAGTTCCCTCACCGGTGTATAAGAGACTCCCCTGCTAAAGTTGCCAAGAGCCTTTCAGTTATTTTTTTTAGGCGCTCCAGAGTTTTAAAATGTCACCTTTTGAGAGCTTTCCCATTAGGTAATACAACTACACGTTCTTATAACCCAATTTAATTTACACCATGGATACACAAATAAATAATCTTGACTTCTCAAAAATGTATATGTATTATGGCTTTTATAACCCACATAAACCTTACATTACCTACAACTAACATTAAGGGAATTTTTTTTTTCCCCAACGAAAAAAAGAGTCGACCCACATAAGGCTTATTAAGGAGGGAACAGGATTAAAAAAAAAGGAAGTGTATTGTTCAGAGTCCTTTAATAATACCAAAATGAAAATATGATGTCCAGATTTTCTTCATACAGATAAACGCATTTAATTTCTTTAGATGACCTTAACTTACGTGTTTGTGAGTGAAATGATAACTCAACATTTTAAATATCTTTTACATATATACTGACTTTCACAAAGTGCATCAGAAAATTTAAAAAAAAAACTCCCTGAATTTCAGGAATTCACAAAAAAAACTCTATTCGAATGAACATTTACAAGAAAATAAAAGAGAACACAATCTTTTGAATCTTATTTATACAGATGTTATGAAATACAGAGAAACTCGCTGGACTTCCCGTTTAATTTCTCACCTTAAGCCTTTTTTGATGCTTCCTTTTTTTTTTTTTAAGGGAAAAAAGTCTCGTAAGTAGGTATCAAGCAGGACTTGGAGCATTTTGTATATTATATAATCCACACAAAGGGTCTGTTTTTTAAGGGTCCCGTTTGTTTTCAAATGTTCTGACAGTCCTTTGCTGGGTGGTGGCTGTTTCTGAGAAAGGGAAAGAGAAGCGGGTGTAGGGGTTGGGCGGTGGGGGAGGAGGGAGCATTTCTGTGTATCGCTCTTCGTTCGAGAAGTTTGTGTGAGTGGTTTGTATATGTGTATGCGCGCGCGCGCGCGCGGAAGTGTGCGTGCTTGTGTATGTAGGTCTCTGATGTGTGTTTGTGTGTCTGTGTGTGCAGTTTTAAAAAGTGTTTTCTGTGTCGGAGAATGGTTCGCTTTTGTTCCCAGACTACTGATTCGATTCTCGTCTGGCGCAGACAGCAAAGGGGAGCTCCTGGCGCGGTCGGTGGGCCGCGGCCGGGAAGCACCGCGCGGTTCCACTTAGCGCCCAGCCCGGGCCCGGGGGCGTCACCCGAGCCCCCGCCCGCCGGTTTCCGCTTGCTCGCTCTCCGAAACCTCTCGCTCGCCTTCGCTCTCCCTCGCCTTGGTGTCTCTACTCGCTCGCTCTCTCGCGCTCTTGCCCGGCCTCTAAGACTCGTTGGGGCCGGACGCCGCTTCCTTGCCTCCTGCCGCGGCGGCCGCCGCCGCCGCAGCAGCAGCCGCCGCTCGGGCAGCGCTGACGCCGGAGTCGTGCAGGATGAGGTCAGGGGACTCGGAGCGGGGCGTCTCCAGGTTGCTGGCGTCCGTGTCACTGTCGCTGCCCTTTTTGCCCCCGCCACCCCCGTTGTGCGTCTTAATGTGTTTGCTCAGGTGGTCGCTGCGCATGAAGCGCTTGTTGCACACTGGACAGGCGAAGCGCTTCTCGCCCGTGTGAGTCCGCAGGTGCCGCTGCAGCTCGTCCGAGCGCGTGAAGCGCTTGCCGCAGAAGAGCCAGTTGCACACGAAGGGTCGCTCGCCCGTGTGCCAGCGCAGGTGCGCCTTCAGGTGCGAGGTCTTGCCGTACACTTTGCCGCAGCCCGGGATGTGGCAGCTGTGCAGGCCCTTACGCCGCAGGCTCGCCCCGGCCGGGCCCAGCCGCTCCGCCTCCTGGCAGTTGGGGCAGTCGCAGGTGGCACGGCCGGAGTAACGGCGGGCGGAGCGTGCCGAGCTCCCCCCGGCGGCGGCGGCCGCGGCGCCCGAGATCATGGCGCTAGCGGCGGCGGCTGCCACCGCGGCGCTCGAGTCCGAGTAGGAGGGCAGCACCGGCTTGAAGCCGTCCTGGGCTAGCAGGTGCTGGCTGGTGGAGAGCAGGTGCGAGGCGGCGGCGGCCGAGGAGCCGAGGCCCGTGGAGCTGAAGGCCGAGTGCGTGAGCGAGCTGAAGTCGGGGTTGTAGGTGCCGAGCTGCGAGTGCAGCGAGGCCTGGGGGGCGCCCGAGTGCAGCGAGCTCTGGAGCCCCCCAGCGGGGTTCTGCACCTCCAGCCACGAGCCCGGGCTGCTGTGCACGTCCCACCATGACGACGCCGCACCGTTGGTCACCTCGCCCGCCGCCAGCGTCGAGTGGAAGCCTGACTTGTACCACGACTCATAGGGGTGCGCCATGCCCACGCGCGGGTACAGGCCGTCGGCTGCCGTCGTGTGCACCTTGGAGATGAAGGCCGACTGGCCGCCCGCTTCCTGCGGGGACACCCCGGCCGCCGCCGCAGCCGCCGCGGAGTTGGAGAAGAGGCCGCCGTAGTCGCTGCTGAAGGCGGAAGACGTGGGCGACGTGGAGGCCAAGCAAAAGGCGCTGTTGGCTGCGCCCGAGCCACCCGCCAGGCCGCCGGAGCCGCGACCGCCCGTGGTCACGGCGAAGCCGGAGAGGCTGGAGCCGAGGTTGCAACTAGACGAGGAGCGCTTCCAGGGGTGGAAGCCGCCCTTGGCGAAGGCGCTCGACTCCGGGAGGGTCGTCAGCGGGCTGGTGTTGCCGATCTTGTTGCAGGTCGCCGCCAGCATGGCCAACGGGGTCGTTCCGAAGCGTGGCTCTTCCTAGAGTGGGTAGGGTGGGGGAGGGAGCAAGGAGGAGGAGGGCAGGAGGAAGTTGGGGAGGGGAGACACAAAGTGCGCCCGTGAGCAGCCTCGTCCCCCCGCGGCTGGTCCCGGGGGGCCGTGGCTCCCCGGCTCGCGCTTCCTCCCAGCGCCGGGCAGAGGCGATCACAGGGCAAGGGTCCTGGCGCTGGAAAGTTGTTCTTCAGTGGAGCTACAAATCAAGATGCCTGCGTCTCCCCGCCTCCGTCGCTGCAACCCCTGCCTGGAACTGGATCGGGTTGCTCGCTTTCCGCTCTCAGTGAGCCAGCTTTCTCACCGAATCCGCCAAATCACCCTTCGGGGTGAAGCGCGAAGGTAAACGCATTGACAACAAACATCGGGTGAGGGCGGAGGCGGACGAAACAGCGGCCCAGGGGCGGGGAAAACTTGGGGTACTGAGCTATAAATCTCCTCCCAAGGGTGGCTACGACTTGCTCTTTTCTTTTTTAATAGAAAACGTTTTTAATGTTTACACAAAAGAACTCCGATTATGAAAACAATAATCCGAAGAGAAGCGACCCAGCGACTGATTTGAAAGTCAAGGGCAAGCTGCGGAGCCGCGGAAATGTAAATGTTTGTTAACGACTACACGGACTTCAAAACGATTAGGGCTGTTTTCTGGAAACATTACTGTCGCGTAATTGCAACAATCCCCGAAGCAAGGGGGGATGGGGTATAATCAAGAGGAGAAGAAAAAAAAACTTACAGGTTTTTTAAAAAACCAAATAAAAAGAGACTTGCTTAAGAAATCATTTTCTTGCAAAGGCATCGCCAGGGTTCCAATAACGTGGAAAGAATCTGTCCTGGAAATGTGGAAAGTGCTAAGGAAGCCGAAGCTGCAGTGCGGCAGCAACAGTTTCTTGGAGCCGCGCTCTCCGAGAAGCCATAACGAAAAACCATTCCAGTTAAAACGCGCAAATGCGTTGCCGCGGTACGGACTTACCCCGAGTATAGACGTGGCCATAGCAGGTCCCTGGGCGGCGTGGCGGGGCCGGGAGTGGGACTGAGCCTGACGGCTGCTCGGAAAACTACTCGGGTACCCGAGGCTCCCGCGTCCCCGCGCTCGCGCCGAGCGGACTCCGGGCTCTTGCCGGCTAAACTCAGCCTAAGAGAGGGGAGCACCCGCTTTGAAGTGCCGCTGGCTGCGCCTCTCGCCCAATGAAGGCGCAGGCAGAGCAGACGGGAGCTGCCCTGCAGCCAATCAGACGCGCAGAGGGGCCCGAGCCCGGGTTCCCGGCGCGTGCCCGTCAAGGCGGCTGGGGGTGGGGGGTGGGGGTGTCGGGCTGGGGACTGAAGAAATTACAGTGCAATTAAAAATTTACACACACTCACACACCAAGCCAGGTTAAGTAGCGTTGAGACAAAGCCACAAACCGCCGAAGCACCCCGAGATGTTGCCAGTAAGGGCTGACAGTTTTACTCCACTGCCCACGTGTGGGAAAGGAGACAGGAGGGGAGGGGGCGCTGAGGCAGAGGCCGTACCGCAGGGCCCAAGTGGAGACGGAAATGTCAACGCTCACTTTGTGTGTTCAGGCTCTCGCCTGCAGGAGCACAACTCCAGCTTGTACACATCTTTCTTGCGCGAAAATTTATCGTTGTCGTTTACCTTCTAGCCAGTTCCTCCCCCCCACCCCGCCCCAGGATTTAGTTTTACTCACTCTCAGAGTCACATTGAGGAGGGGTCAAGAGCTGAGAGTTCCAGGGAGGAGAGACAAATACACCTCTCGGTACAGGTTGACACCCACAGACTTGTTGGGAGGGCCTGGAGCCTGCTGCATCACACCATTTCCCCCCAGCGGTCTAAGTGACTTCCTAATTGTCGATCTGGCCTCTGACCTGGGGGTAATAGAAGTGCCACTCACACCAGAAGCTTCTGGTGGTAATTGAGGGCACCCTTTGTACCGTTTCACCAGCGCCTAGATACCAGGTTAACCCAGTTGTCAAATATGACTAAACAGTGGGATGTGCTGATTATCTGCCGGGTTTCGCCGGGGGCTGGCGTGGGGGTGGGAGGCATCAGCCCATACAACAAGCTGCACGAAGCCGCTTATTTTCACATTGTAACAACTTTGGAAACCGAGACCAGCGCAAGCCGTGTCCGCCCCCACCGCCACCCCCGCTGAAGCTGCAGCTTGTTCGGCTGTTTGTTTAACCCGGTAAAGATTTGCATGTCACGTTTCAGCCTGAAGTCGAGTTTTCTAGCCCCAGCTCCAAACCACCCCAACCCCAGACCGCCTGGGCCTAGAAACTCCTCTGTAGGGTGAGGGTGTCTTGTTAAAAGGTGGATTCCTCCCTAGCGCCCCTCTCTTCGCAGACTTGCCCGGGGAGCCTCTTGGAGACCTCCACCCTAGAGTGTGGAGGGCGAGGCCACACGTGGGCGCCTGCACATCTTGCAGGCTGGAAGCATCCTGAAGGACTGCCCAATCCTCCCTGGACATTGTTAGTGTGAAAAGAGATGTCTTCAGACGGGCAACTGGGCGTCCTTGAGTCCCTCTGCAAACGCTGAGCTGTTTGTGCTTTTCTTCTTTCCAGGTCCCGCTTTCTCTTTCTCCTCCAGGTCAGCCAGGGGCTGCTTTTGAACCAGAAATACCAGAGCTCTCGGGCAGACCTGGGTACTGGCTTTAAATGTACCACGTCCCCCTCCAAGCCCGCATCCCGCCTTCCTGCCCAAGTACGCTTTAATTTTTAAACCACCGTCCTCAAATGCTCTGTTGAAAACACGGGATGTTGTGGAGGGAGAGCAAGTGAGGAGGACATGGAGCTGTGCCCTCAGTGTTTTCGCTCCTCTTATGCAAGAACTCTTGGCCCAAAAGCGTGACCACCGTGGCGCTTCTCTCGGCCCTAAGCTGGAGCCTGCAAGCATCTTGGGTGCACTCTACGGATAGGGAGGACTTTGTGGTTCTTTCTTTTCGTTAAAATACTTTTGCTCAGATTTGTTTTTTTAAGGTGGCAAAGCACCAAGGAAATTATAACAGAGAAAGAGAAGGGAGCAAGAAGACCTGCGTGGCTCTAATGAAGCGCTGTGCCCTGGGGGACTGGTCGTGGAAATCGTGGAGAGGTTGTGAAAAGCCCCCGTGAGACGCGGGGTGCAGAGGGAAAACAAGCAGCCTGGAAAAACCGGAGAGCCCGGCAGGGGGACCCAGGAGCCGTTCCCAACAGGTGACTTCTGCCCTGGAAGGGGAGACCGGTGCTCGGCTTCCTATAGAGTCTCCGCGTCGATTTACTAATAGAGGGATTGTTAAGTGACAGCGAGGCGTTTCCGACTCACCCTGTGCAGCCCCGGGAGGAGTAGCGCTGAGGTATCCCCCACCCACCTCCTCCCCCACCCCCAAACACACTTTCTCCTTAAGGAAACCTGACAAAGTAATAAATAAGACAATCCGAAAAGCCACTTAGCACTGGTGACATTTTCAAGCCAACCATTTAAAACAGTGCACGCAGGCACCTCGGGCTCCGGGCGTCTCGTTGCCTTCTCCTCCTACTCCCCTCCCTCCCCCTCCCACCGTTTTCAATGTACTTCCAGCTGTCAGACTCTCTCCACTAGCGCTCGAATATTCCTTTAGATACAAGCGTTCGGATCACAATAAAAGTTAGGGAAATCTTCCAAACGAACGCAGGCAAACACCCGGGTCGCTTTAACTCTAAGGTGGGGCCCTAAGGAAATCTTTCGGAGGAAGTCCAGTGATTTTTTTTTTTTTTTTTTTTTGTCTGACAGATTTTTTTTCATCCTCTAAAAAATCTAGTTTTTAAACAAAGATCAATGTGTTATGCTAAAGTGTTGAGCTGACTGTTAAAACATTTGGGGAAATAATGACAATGTAACAAAGGCCTGGTTTGGAATGAATCATCACCCTTTTAAAAGTTAAAGCAATTTTCAGGAGAATAGCTTTCAGCAAACGCTTTACATTATTCAAAACGGCCAAATAATGCTCTATTATAGCGCCTGAATGCTGCCAGTCAGCCCCTAAGTGCAATTTGTGCAAAGGCCCCGGTGCCTTATCTCCACTTCTTTATAAAGAGGTGAATATAAAACAATTTCTTCCAGACCCAGACAGAGAGCACGAAAATTGCTTCCCTTTCTGCAATCAGGGCAATTTAACTGGAGTGCAATTAGCACTATTAAATGTCGATTCTGCATAAACAAATCTGACTGAGCAGCGAAAGTGGGGTGAGAACCTCATATACACTGAAACTGATTTTTTAAAATTATGTATCCGGGTCCTTTACAATTGATCTGTGACGTTTTCATCTTGGAATATATTTACATCGTAAATACACTAAAAAAATACAATAGAAATCCTAATAAAGAAGAATAATTAAAGGGAAGAGTTCACTTCCTTTGAACAAATATTGTTTCCCCCATCTTGCTTCTCCCGAGAGCTTTGATCTGAGCAACTGCTCAAGTTGCTGTGTTTAGGAGGCAAAGCCTGGGAAACAATTCCGTCATTAGCGCTGATCCGAAGGATTGGGGCTCCTGCGCCACAGCCAAATGCCTCTCCCTGGTGCACAGGAAGCAAAACGGGGATGGGAGAACCAGTTATTTTCTGCATAACTCGATACAATAGCTGGTCAAATATTAGGTAGCTGCCCAGCCTCTCGGGAGCTTTGGTCAGGCACATACTTTAGCAGCGAATATACAGTGCAGAGGGTGGGGGTGAAGTTGGGGAGACTCGAAGATGTGGGCGGGAAGAGAGAGGCATTGGGGGAGCAGGAACTCAAGGTTCTGGCTTTGGCTGGGCCGACTGCACCCAAAGCCTCGGCCAACAGAACCGGGATGCGCTGGGGCGAGTCCATAAAAAGCATTTATCTAACCTGTCCTTTATTTATTTATTTATTTTCTAAGCCAAAGCGCCCCCTTTCTGAATCATTTGCGCAATTAATTACGCCTTTCATTTGCATGATCTACACTAGAACAGTGATTATCAGGTCAGCACGGTGTGGGAGTTGGGGAGATACATCAATAATTTGAGTTAAAGAAAAAAGAAGAAAAACAGAGACCTGCCCTGTGTACCATCGTCGCCCGACATGAACGGAGGCGAAGGGAGCCGGTACAGACTGTAGCGCCTGTTGAGTCGGATGAATCCTATCTGCAGTGGAGTTTTTCAGTTGTGGATGAAGATGAAATGCTGCTTTTGATTAGAAGGGAATCCTCTATAGTTAATGTATATTTATATTTTTTAAAAGCACCAGCGTTGAGATCAAATAGATCAAGGAAATTAATTGAAAATGGAGGAAGTGTCCCACAATTTCCGTTGAGCTTTCATTTAATATTTGTTCTATAACGCCCTCATTCTAGCCCTACCCTTGCAAATAAGAGAGCCAGGAAGGACCAGTAGGTCAATAGGGCTTTCTGTCTTTTCTCTGTCTCAGAGGTGTCACTGCTATTTAGCAGGAAATGCAAGTTTTTCTTGAGCCTGTGAGGTCTGCTGGAGAAATTTGAAAACCCCTCCTCTATTAAGTACACTCCAAACGTTTGCCTACACAACTCATTTTCTGCTGCTAGATGTATGTGGGCCATATATTTTAAGCCTGCCTTGATATGTTTATCTGAGCCAAAATCGCACTAACAATTAAAGGAAAGACTCTGGTATGTCAAAGGAAGAAAGGTGACTGTAGACTGTGATGATTTTAATGACTGCAATTATTGGAAGATTATTCAACAAGCATCATAGATTTGTTTACTGCATTACTTGGAAACTATGGGGGGTCTATTCGGCTTGAGGTTTTCCCTTCCTCCCTCACTGGCCAATCACCACAGAGGGGGCTTGGCAAATGTGACATTCAGTGCTGGCTTTCTTTTTAAGGGCATCTCTACCAAAATGAAGCACATTGGTTGTCTAGCCAACTCTAATAGAACCATCTTTGGAGACATTAAAAGGGCCTTTTCACATAGACCCTGAACTAATGTCAAGAAAAGCTAGAGGCATGAGGAATGTGGTCATTGCCCGCTTCTCCCAGCCAAGA